ATCGGTTCTAATCGATGATTGTGTATGACAGCAGGTAAAATATCGGTTCTAATCAATAATTGATTGTGTATGACAGCTGGTAAAATATCGATTCTAATCAGTAATTGATTGTGTACTCGGCGTATGGATGGAAACACATCATTTATTTGAACTTGTGTCCACAGGGCAGAGATTTTGGTTTTGGAAATGTAGGCTACAGGTAAACTGATATTTTGTTTCGTTTTCTTTAGGCAAGTGAGAAGTATATAAACTCCGAGTTGGACAAGTACCTGTCTCCAGATGAAATAGGCAGAGCAGTCTTGTATGCTGTGACTCAACCCACAGGTGTTGCTGTTAACGACATACTCGTTGAACCTACAGACTTTCCATTTGTTTGAATCAACCATTGCTAAGTCAACCTTTAGTTTTTGCCCATTTTTGAGAAAGGCTGTAAATGCATCCTACTAACATTCTTAAAGTGAATTCTTTTCTTTTAATCTGATGTTTAAGGACGGAATGTTATTAGCATATTAATAAAAAGTTTCCTTTTTCAGCTGTAATCTATTTCGGTTAGTTTATCAGCACAAGTCGGGGATTGATTTATACAAAATAGATCATATTATATGTCCATTCGGTTGATTAGAACCCTCTTCGATATGGCGCGTGATTATAAGGGATGCCTTGAAGTAATGATCGGGAAATAAGGCTGGCAACACAGGCAAAATTTGACTCTCTGACCGCTAAGTGGGATAAAATATCGTGATATGGCCTAAAAAGGAACGAGTTCCTTGTAATTTTGCGTGAATGTAGTGGACTGTATCAGACAGTAATGCGCTTAAATTTTAGCTGGAAAACTGAAGGCAAACCCACGCCGCGTCCGCCTGCAATCCCGTATATTAGCTCAATGCTTACTTCAACATTTTTTTTCAGGGAAATGTATTTGTGACCCAGAAAGGTAACAATACATACATGTACTCATTTTGTAACTTCAGTAATACCATAATATCTGCTGAAATTGAATTTTACATCTTTGCAAGGATTCGATCTTTCACGTTTTATTGGTATGTTTTCTTACCTTTGCACGAACATTGTTAACGTATACCCGCTGCAAAGTTCAGATGAAATGTTTATTTTGGCCAATTTTATTTCCAAAGTGCAAAATAAACTCTTTTAATATGCACCCAAAAATACAAAAAAATTCTAAAAATTTGTAGGTGGGTGTGTGAGTGGAGTTAATAATGATTTACCAGAATTGATCAACTTGGAAGGATTTCTTAAATGTTTATTTGCAATGGCGCACTTCAACGTTCCGTAGATTTTCTTCGTGTTGTGTTGCTAAACCCCTACGTAGAAAAACTTCAAATCGACTTCGTCAAGGTACATGTATTGCCTTCATTGTACCATGCAGGAAGGAAAAATCCCTTCCTCCAAACAGGCTGTTGAACCTTGGTGACATGAAGTTCGTCCAAAATTCAAGACTGAGGGCGTCTGGATATTGGGCAAGATTTCAGCTGAGTGTCCCCGAACGTAGCGCTCTTGAACAAATCTCTGAAAATTCCAAAGAAATATGGCGCAAATCCTAGGGGAGATTTGGGTATATATATACCCCACTTTTTGACAGGGGTGGGCTATTGAATTCCCCTGCCCCCTTTTGTGGTGCCGTGGTGAAGAATTTTTCGAATTTTCCAACAACCAAAATGTACCGATATTCGGTAGGAGAACAACATTTTAAAAGCCAACACTCTGATCTAATATTTTGCATGTACATCCGTATCATGAACAGCGCCCCCATAGTGTTGTATGGCATCTGCACCCCCCGTGCTTTTCAATGGCCGGGCAAGTCATCAACCCCTCCCACAGCCCCTTCCTCATTTCCAGCACACTGAGAAGGTCAGTGTGGTCACTCACCCTCGGTGGGTGGGGCTGTTGATGGAGGAGATGCTAATAATTAATAATGAATGTCAAGTGATACACTTTATGATGTTCCCGTCCTTGTACAGGTGCGAATGCTTGGATGTGTCGTTGAAGAGGGAAACACAACGCGCGTTGTTCTTGAACGACACGTTCAAGCATTCGTACCTGACCAGGGGCGGGAGAGGTCTGACAATTCGTACTCAAGTAAGTTCCCCCAGGGAGATATGGCTGGAGATAAATATCAAGTGAAAAAAACACAGAAAAGCAAAGTATCTGCACGAAGGGAAGACGTTCTGTGGACTTGCCTTTGTCCACAGGACGTTTCACTTTCTCTGAAAAAGAAATTAAGGGGCATTATGGCTAGGGTTCTCTGTCGGAAAAAGAAGATGAACAGTAAAGGAAACATTTTACACAAATCCAGGTGAAAATCGACTTCCCAGTTCGAGAAATACTGAGTATTCTAACTGAGTTATCAACACTAGTATGTGGCTTAAGTATGGGTGTGAGAGTGGGGGGGGGGCATTATTTGTTTATCACTGTTCTATCTTCAACAAATCACGTCGGTTTTTCAAGATGTATTTTTTTGCGTTGGGGAAGATGTTAATTCATAACGGGTTTTGCCCTTACCCAACGTATGTACACCTGACTCGGACCGGCCAGTCGACCACGGAAAGCTCGGTGCTCGAGTGGTTAAGACGGCTGCACTAGTATAAGCAGGAGGTTGTGGGTTCGAGTCCCAACCAAGTAAGCTTGTGAATTTTTTCGCAAGCTCTCAGACAAGCACTGAGCATACAGTGTTTATCAATACATACGTTGGGCAAGGGCAAAACCGTTATAAATTAAATCACGTCGCCTTGTCCTCCCGCATTATTAACGAAGCGCGACGCACTTATACTTCACCCCAACGCAGTGGCTCTTTCACGATCACCTGCAGAGTACTTTGCCTGTTTCACCCCCTTTTCTGCCTCCTAGCCCTTCATCTATGAACTCCCCCCCTGCAAAAGATAGCTGCAAATCTGCTTTACTTCGCGTAGTGCTGGACAAAGGCCTTTCTGGATAGTGTCTATCAAATCTAGTTCACGGGTCAATCTCGGCGTTGAGAAGTCGCACTCCCTTTGTGTGTCCTCATTGGTCGAGTTCAGGCGGCTTGTTCCCGTATATTCACGAACAGCTCGATTTGATCGCGGGTCGGCCTCTCGAACGCCGTGAACAAACAACCGGTTATCACTGGTAGTTAGTGACGTGCAACATGGCAGCGTCCATGTAGGCTACGTCATTTGAGAGTTAATGTTTGGATGGGCTGAATTCTTTTATATATAAACAGGAACATTCGTTTCTGTGGTACGGAAAATAATTAATGTTAATTTTGCAAAACTTCCCATTGTCTATGGCTTTGGAAGCCATCTCTTTACTTTTTGCAGCTGTTCAAAAATCAAAATCTCACGAGTTTCCCGTCTGTTCCTGTAAAACCCTACGAGGAGGTGGTGTGTGATCCTGTCCGAGAACAGTGTTCTTGAGTCGTGATCCCGCCGTTCGAGCGCGAGAACAAGAAACCCGTGTCAAGAACAGGCCGCTCGAACTCGACCTTTACGTTGCTTTCACCGTCAATCATCATTTCAGTCGTTCGCGTCTCGTCCATGTTATCCGCCCCGAGCAGGAACAAGAGAGGGCGTGTTTTGAAGTGAAATTGACAGTCCTTTGGTACGCATCCACCGCATGGGCCGTTTTCCATTACTCAACTTTGGCTCCGTCTCAGGCTTCAACTATTTTTTTACTACCTGACTTTGAAGCTGTAAGCACACTAATTAGTCTAATAGTGCCACAAAACATCAAATAAGATGTAAGAGAGCAAAAACTTACAGTAATCCAATTCGATTTAAACGCTTCACTGAGGCCCACAATCGGGGATTGGTTTCGGGGACAAAGCCTGAGAGTATTGGAAAACGACCATAGGCGCGCAAGTTTATGGGCGTTTGACGCAGAGCACACTGAGTACACGCAACCGTGAGGAATTTAGGAATGTACATGGTGTCCGCGTGCACGCCGAGCGCGAGAACCCGGTTGGAAAACTTAGTACCAACCAAAGATTGTATAGCGCCGCGCAGCGGCGCTATACAATCTGCGCGGCGCTATACAATCTTTGGTACCAACTGTCTTTCTTTCGCCGGTGAGGATGCACTTCAGCTTAGGGCGGATTGGCTACGGATCGATGGGTGGGTAAACGTTGCCTAACATTTGTACCTTTTAATTTGTAAGTGCTTCCATAGCACCTGATCACGTCACGAGGTTACATTGTCACATGTCTGCTGTGCGGGCGTCAACAGACCTTTTTGCTGCGCACCTCTCTCAATCCCCACCTGAATTAATTTCTGCATCACCTATATGAGTGTAGAAAATGTCTTCAACGCTAACCTTGCTAACCAGCTAATAATGAGAGGGCTAGCGGTTTCAAGTCAGCGTTGTTTTATTTTTTTCAAGAAAATTGGTAATGTTCGCCCTTTTCATCTCTCACACTTCTGTTCCTTTCGCTTTCAGCCGTTTCTTTTTTTTTCATTTTTTTTTCGGGGGGGGGTGGGGGTGGGGTAAACACCCTTTGTCTATCTTCGCTATGCTGAAATTAATACCACTTCATTCGATTTTTACGACTTTAAATCTCGTTCATGAAAAGAACGCCCTCAACGTTCAGATTGATTTTTTTAGGAGACACGTGTACATCGAAGCTTGTGGCGTCACCAGATACAAAGCAATCGGTCACGACTCGCCGAGGCGTTACGTATTCTCATAAAAATCAAACAAATTAGTGATTTCAAATATTACCTGACCTGAAACATGACCTACCCAGAGCATGAGTCAATCTATTTTTTTTTGTTGGTAGTGGTGTGGTGTTAGGAATACCTTAAGTGGCAGATTTCATACTGAAATTCCCCAATTTCTGGAAATATCTGCAAATGATCGTGCGTTTATTGTCTCTATTGTAAAAAATTAAAAATAGTTTCAAATAATTGTAAAATTCCAGTCATCGTTTCCAAACATGCGTATGCTTTATCCTAGAACAGTTGAGATTCCTATTGATAGAGGAGAAAAGGTAAAATTGTTTACTTTTAGGGTTATACGTTAAAATCATACAGAAACATGCCAAGTTACAAAAGACAACGATTAAAAAAAATGCCAAAAATAAGGTCCCACCGAGATTTGAACTCGGATCGCGAGATTCAGAGTCTCGAGTGCTAACCGTTACACCATGGGACCAGCTCGGGCGGCGAGGGAATTTTATTAAATATAAATATTAAACAACAAATTTTTAAAAATGTATACGTTTTTGTTGATGGCTAGGACAATTTTACAACGGGAACATTTCTGATTTTTTCAATTTGCATAATCACCACTAATTCTCTGCGGAAAACACAAACTCTGCAAGAGTGGTGGTTGACAAAACGTCGCGCTAGAACCATATATGGAAACGACCCGCTGAAGAACGAGCCAATCAGGATCTGGCTATGACAAAGAAAATTTGCATATGTAATAGCCTACCATAAACATTGAACAGGTAGGCGAGGCATTTAACTTGTGCTGTCTGACTAGGCATGTCATGCATAACATGATTGTGTATCATTGTGACGTATTTGGACGGGAGGTACTTTACGTGGGTCACACGAAATCTGTCGTGGGGTGTTGGGACTCTATAACTTAGTGGGGTGTAAACGAAACCTATGTCAACTGTGGAATGCTGAAGTTGAGACGCAAGAATGCCACATTCTTCGCCCTGTCTGGCTTTGATGGCAGTCCTAACGCAGTGTAGAGTTTAGGCCACTCAGGTAAGGAAACCAACATTTTAATCGGGGTTTCTTTCGACAGGATATGGACATGATTGAAGTTCTCGTTCAGCTGGGCAGAAAAGTTCTGCAGCGCAGACATTGCCACTGAATGGGTGTGTCATATTGTTGTGGGTACGTAGATTTTGTTAGCAATTTACTGTCATTGGCCCCCACATAAACATGTTCCATTTTTACCGCTCTGAATAACGACATTAGTGAGGACTATTGCTCAAGTGTTTCTAGTTTGATCATGACAATTATGAAATTTATATTGCTCATCTGATGTTGGGTTTAATGGTTTATCAAATGCTAGACGATAGGCAGACATTGCAAACTATTACCGATATCGGTGTCAGTGAACTTCATAGTCATGCATGTGACCATTTAACATTTTAATAAGTATTCACTATACAACTACTTCAACTTTTACAGCTGCTTAATTACTGAAATAATCCTAAAATCGATTTTTGACCCAAGGATAAATTCATGTTACTGCAATTGCAAGTCCAATGATTTTTTAACCTTCCTGATGAAGTTTGAACACATCAAAGTTAAAATATCAATGGAAATCATTTTTGATGCTGTACTTCCAATGCCTCCATTTGATCACTTCTGTTAGTAGGATGTCAACTTGGAGGGGTCTTGCGGAACACTCTGTGCTGTCTTTGCTGGGATACTGGTACATTTAAGTGTTTCAGATTTTGATTTGGTTTTATTTGTAATATTAATAATATACACATAATTAGAGTCCCTAACCACACAGTTCAAGATACCTTGTTGGTAGCTTTCAGATGTTTAAAAGATTCATGCTACCTGAGTATTTCAAGAGTGTTGTTGATTTAAGATTTTCAAGAGTGTTTTCAATTTTCGCCACTTCTTTTTGTTATTTATAGGATATATACATGTATGCACCTTGTATGCATCATTTTGGCTTGACAGGTTTTATTCTGTCATTGCATGGCTTTGTATTATTTTGATCTGTTTGTTTTGATGTTTTAATCTTTTTCTTCCATTTTTGTATAGAAATACATATATAACAACATTACAGTAAACACTAAGGTCAAAAAACTCACCTTTAATTAATGGTCACAAGGCACAAAGCTATATTTATCAGATGATGTCTGCATTAAAAAAATTTAAAGATAAAACCTAAACCTTAAATACTGAACTTCTCTTTAGTTTTGGGTTATTAATGAGGTTTCAAGTGTGAAGGTGTTCATTTGATTTGTCTCGTAATGTAGTGTTTGGCAGGTTTGTATTATTATGGTAGTAAGTAAGGCACCACATGTGCTGTAGTGTGTAAGCCACCATCATCATGCATCATATAGGATGACTCATAGATTGTCACTCTTGTGTAGTTTTCTCAAGATGAGGTCATACCAGGACTGCTCCACTGATATGAACCCAACCAGCTATAAACGGAAACTCCCACTAATGCTGCATACAATAACTGTTTCATTTCTCTCTCAGTGATGCATAATGAAAAACTGCTGTGGTATGTCTGAAAGATTTCTGTAATTTATAAATTTGTTTCACCGTGAATGGTGATTGATTTTTCAGCTATTTATGTACAGCAGTAATACACATGGGTGTCTGGCTTAAATATTACTGAATGGACCTATGTGTGCTTGTGTTGTGTGTGCATCTGTTGCCACATGGACATCAAAGTATAAGTGAATCTGGTAAGTGCAATAGCAATTGCAAGTATTCTGTCAGAGGGGAATGTGGAAAAAGGAGCTTAGCAAGGATTTGTTGATGAACATGCAAATTTAATAAATCACCAGCTGAAACAATGGATTAGGAAACTATTGTTATTACTTCTTGTTATTGACATTGCTGACAAAGCTTTCATGTTGTTTGCTTCAAGGAGTTTATCTGAAGGTTACGTAATGACAACTAACTATTTTCATTCAATTTTAATTATCAGTTGTAACTTGTAAGGTACATCACATGGTATTATGCTGGTGTCTTTTTAATAAATATAAGTTTTGTGCACTTCCAATCACTCTCATGTACGAAAGTATTCATTGGGATAGTGTTGATTGTGGGAACTTGCTGAGGAAGGAACACAGTTCATAGGTCACTAGTTACTGTATAATCTGAACAATGGTTAATGTGCATTGCACACACTGACTCCATGTACATAGTAATGGAATGTGCCAGAGACTCATAGAGTTATACATGTATAGATAAGACCATAATAAAGACAGCACCACTTGACTGAATACTCATAACTGTGGTGACATTTCTTAGAAACACGTCACCTCAGTCTTTTGAAAAGACTGCACATTATACCTGTGTTAATGGGGAGAGGTGTACAGGGAACTATAAACAGGACTTTGCTCAGGCTGAAACCAGCATGTTTTCATATGTGGAAAATAAAATACATTGCATTGTGTAAACATGTAGCTGCTCACTTAAATCAGAAATATGGATATAGGTTTTATCTTTCATCGAGCCAATGCGGGAATCATACATTTACATTTATACATATACATGTATGTACATGTACATTGCAGAGTGTAACCTCAGTATTGTCAGAAGTGAGATAGATTACAAAAAGTATTTTTGGAATATAATTTGCTTTCTTTTGTTATGTGTAGCTCAGTGGTATTTGGAGAATATGGCATCTGGAATGTTGTAACACATCAGAAGTGACTTCACATTAAGTTTCATGTGTATTATGGTACACACAGTTAACATGAACACATGTACATCTGTGCCATATTTTGTCCTCCAAAATCCTTCTGGCAGTTTTGGAGGATTGAGGTTGAATAGCAAAAGTGCATGGCTGATTGCAAAGGATGTCATGTGTGAAGGTCGTGGGTTGGATGTTGTGTTGTTCTTGCTCAGTCATGCATAAATTCAGCCCGATATTCCTTTTGAATCAACTGCACCACTCCAGAATGCCATTTGCATTGCCTCAACATAATGACAGGAATTGCAGGAGGATTTTGAAGGATCGAGGCAGTAGGCACACCTCCACCTAACATTTTCAAGAAAATTTTGAAGAATTGAGGGAGAATCCAATTTTTCACCCCCAAATTAGAGGATTCTGGAGGATTGAGGAGGGTCCCTTGCAAAAAGGGCCTAGGGGATTAGGGTTAAGATTTCTGTGGCTGACCTTGCAAACTCCCCAGTATTGTTGGGTGTCCTTCCATCAAATCAAGAAGATTACCACTGCATAACATGATTGTTGCATTCAAGGACAATTTTTCCTGTATCAGTTGCATTAACAATTTTTTTTGTTGCACAGGTTCTACATTTAACTTTTTTTTATTGTAAAGAGCTATTCAATTTGATGAGAAACGTATTTCAATTGATGATTCTGCTATGTCTGCATATTATACACATACATGTAGATATGCATTCCTAAAAAGTTAGCGTCAGTCACATATTTTGTTTGGATCCTGTTCTGAAAATGGAAGTTGAAAAAATTGTCCGAAACTTGAAACAATTCATGCAAAAGGGAAGGAAACAACTTGGTGCCGGATGTATGCGGTGTCTATTTTTATAATGAAGGAGCCAATAACAATACAAACGTACTTAAATGGAGTTGCAGGTTTCAGTTTTGGAATTCATACATGTACCACTGTATTTATCTCTCCCTGTCTAAATGAATAAAACCTGACAATGCCCTAAATGTATTGGGAAGTCAATTGATTATTTGTCCATTTATTACAGAGTTCACTGCAATCAACCCCTCACACGTACATGAACATTAGATGGTCTACCAGTGATGTGAGAAGTACACCATGGCATGCATCCAAGTTGAGCCAGTAATAATTCAACCTGAAGCTGTAGTTTGCACAGACAATGAGAACAGAGATGAGCCACCGAGTCCAGAGATTCTTCCCAGCTTTTTGAAAATTTCATATCCACGGCTGGACCTGTCTGCACTCAGTGAATGTAAATTTGCTGAGGTAAGTTAGAGAACATTGTTGATGACCCACCTTGTGGGTTTGAGCATACATTGAGAATGTACACAGGTATAAAAGGAGTGCAGATGTCAGTGATCGAGACTTTCATATTGTTATGGAATTTCTTGTCTGATTTGAATTTGCCCTATATATTGTTCAGTGCTGGACTACCCAGAATGTAAGAAAGTCTGGTTTCTAAAATTCTTTGTCACGTTTCATGTTGATATGACTTTATGTTGGTGAATCATTGAGTAAGGCAATGGATTTGTACATTCTTTTCATATTACCGAAAGAAGAAAAAAGCAAAAAAAAAAGAAACAAATTATATCGCTCCTCCCTTTAAATTAATTTTTAAATTGAATTTTTTCCAGCGAAAGCCAAACATTATCCAAGATGGTCCTTCAGTTATTGTGCAGTCATTGTACAATATGCCTCTTACTCCTGGAGCTTTCGGTACTCCGACAGCGTTAGAATATTTAGCAGAAGAGATTGAAGTTTCCTGCTCAGAAGATGGTTTATGTGACACTGAAGTCAATAAACTCACATCAAAGTTGTGTAAGTCTCTATTTTGCTGATTTTTAGTTTCAGTAAATACTTAAGTACACTTTTGCTGGTTTTCCCATGAGAAATTCATAAATCCTTTCAGTTTTCTTTATGGCTGCATAAAAAGAAGAATAAAATCTAGGAAATATTTTTTGTTTGTGCGTTGTTGATGTATTGTGCTGTTGTTTTTATGCATGTGCTGAGAACGTAATGCAGTAGCTTTGCATTGTCTTTTAAGAGCATCCTGCTGTATGCTTATAACAATAAGATAAGTACCAGATACAGGGTGATATTGAAATCTATGAAAACAATGATGGAAAAAGCCTTACAAAAGGAAACAAGACTCTACATGTAATACTTGAAGGGCCATTTCAATTTCTCTTTTGTCCTATTGAAAGGGCTTTTTAAAAATTCACATTTTTAATGCCTTCCGTGACAAATTAGGGTACAATGTCTTTGCACAAAACACTGTTCATTTTCAAGGTTTTGTGTTCAGATTTACCCAATATTCGCTCATTTAAAATATTTATGAGGAGACTTTGGCCCACCATCCAACTGTCATGTACTAAAACAACAATGAATCAACAAGAAAGAAACAGTGAAGACAGCAAAACATCTAAATTCTGGCACCCTTTAGAGCAGAAAAAGCTGTAATATTGACTTTCTTCCTGAAATTCATATCAATAATTTTTCTCATGGATCTGCACGTTTGCAGTGCCCTTAAAAGTGGAAAACAAGTTGAAAAAAGTTAAATGGGAAACACAGGGGCATTTACAAGAACTGCATTAAAAACGAACCCTAGACAAAGTTATCATGAGTGAGTGTGAACAGCGCATTGCATTTATAACTCTTCCATCTGCACTTTGATTATGTACATGTAATTCTGGCCTGTGGATAGTCATTGGCTTTTGGTCAGAGTTCAAGATAGTGGAAATGACATCACTATCTTTAGATCTGACTTGTCATGGACTTGATTCTTTAACTGAGCACCCTCCTGTAATCATTGTCCTTGGGGATACAAGTACTTTGTAAACAGAAAATCTGCAAACACATTTCTTACCACACTTGTCAGGAGGATTACATGTATGGTATGTCATTGCCAATGGCAGCAGAGTGATTATCTGTGTGTGTGTGTGGGGGGGGTTGTGAGACCATCAGGCATCAGTCATTAATCATGTTACTAGCCTGAGTCGTAAGCCCTGCCCCATGGCATTCTGGCCTGGGGAGGATTACTACCAAGTGAAAAAAATTGGGGGAGGTTCCTGCCCCATAGCCCGTTCAGTTTCATTACCGTTGGCCACTGCTGGTCATTTACCAAATATAAGTGAGCATTAACATGTTTTTTTCTTAACCAAGGATTATTTGAGCAGGGACTTACAATTTTAGATTGACAGGGAAAGAAAACCCCAGAACAATCTCGTTGCACAATCTTGATCGAGCAGGTCATGGCAACGCAATCCTTTTACATGCCAGGCGGATAGCAACAGGTTTAGGCAGAAACAGGAGAAAAAAAAATACACTGGGTGGCATGGATACTCAGAAAAAAAAAGAGAGTTTCTGTCAGAGTCATTCCATGTTGAAAGCAAACATGAAAGTTGAATGTGGGTGTCACTCTACAAGAATACCAATCTGAAGTGAATATTACCACCAGCAACAGTAAATACATAATGTCATGGATGTGCTGTGTGCATATTACATCCCTGTGCATCAATTATCAGATTGCTCAAATTTCGCTGGCCAGTTTGTGTTAATGGATGCACAATCCACACAAAGGAATACTAACTCGAAGTGAAATCTTGTGCAGTTTTGCTGGGGAACAGAATTTTTATAATCCTAAAACAAGTGATTGTCCTTTACTTCCCTGCAAATCCACAAGAAGAAATGAAGCCATTGGGAACTCTTCCGGGAGGAGGAATTTATTTATGAATGATCTATTTGAAATAGTCCTAGCTGATATTATCAATCCAAAAATGTAGTGATATGGGGTGTGTGTGGTTAGCTTAGTTTCAGTGTCACACATTAGAGGTATATATTTTTTACCATGATCAGAAATATGTTTCTGCCTCAGTCTTTGACGCGTTAATTAATTAGTATTCCTGTGCGATGTCATTGCTTTGACCAAACAAGTGCGGATCAAGATTCAACTTTCCAGCGAGGAGGGTAATTTGATTTTGACGCATTAGTCTTTTGTCAAATCAATTTCACAGATCTCTAAGGGTCATGTGAAAAGTTGACTTAACAGAATTTAGCACATAAATTGAACAATTTGTTGAAAAGGTTATATCCTGAAGTTATTTCCTAGATGGCCAATTAAATAGTATCTCTTATTCTCAGTTTTATCTCCTGTGCCATTTTGACAAAAAGTGTGCAGTTGCCTCATGGGATCTGTTGTAGCCGAGGATGGAAGGAATAAACAGTTATGCTGAGGAGGGAACTCATGGGTTTAAATGTACATACATGTACATGCACTTGTACGTGTAAGGCTTTCGACTTCCTTTACTCAACATTCGCCTGAATTGTTTGTTTTTCTAAAGTATTCCAGAACAGGTCATACAAGTTACACTGAGATTGAATTCATGAATGCATTTGTTATTTGCATATTATAGAAACTTGTATGGAGTTGAGTCCTTGGGCATACTGTATTGCCCACAATGCCAATGTCTGTGGTCATGGTAACAGCAAGTGAACTTGCACATCAACAATACCCTGATTGGCCCTTAGAGAGACTAGTGGTGTCACAGTTGAGTGAACCAGGCAAAACCGATTTGCTGCTGTTATTGCATAGTTTGGAACCTGTCAACAAAGGATCAGTGCATTGTTAATTCATAGCAATATTCTGAAAAGATTGGCATACATGTAGATGTGAAAAAAGGATAAATTTAAATGTTACCTGCTACCAGAAACTGCAAGTATTAATTTGTGTTGTGGTCAATTTTCTCATGGGAGGGGGTTTGCTGAAAACATTTATGTGGAGGGGACATGGGTAGACACCTTTTGACACCAGGAGGCACTCTTCAACACTAGTTATGAATTAGTGTGAACGCCACGTACATAACGACTTTTTGTTAGCCCTCCTTGTTTCTCCTATATTGGGCAAAAAAAGGTGGTTAAATTCCTCCATCGACATGTACGTGATTAAAGTACTGAAGTGATAAGTCAAAATATGAAACCTTAAAATGTACAAAATCAGTAAAACATTTTGACCCAATGATATTTTCGTAAAAAAGATTTCAAAGTTTGTGGCTTCTGTAAAATTGGTACTGTAATATAATTCAAATTCCTGCCATATTGATTTTGTCAGGCCGGTTGTCTCCATTACCACAGACAAATGAAAAGACAGCAACAGCTCTTCTGTTGCTAATCAAATATAAATGTACTTAAAAAATGAAGACATTGTTTAAGTCATCTACATTCACATGTTTAATAATAGTTGATGTGTGATTCGTCTGTGAAAGTTCACGTTAGATTAATAACATTTGTCATAGAATTGATTTCAGTGTGATATCCTCATTACCATGGAAACCTTAGGTGTGTCTTTTCAGCATGCTTGTCTTTATGTTGTTGTTCCTTTAAAAATTTCCTAAATGCCAAGTTGCATTTTATGTAAATTTAAGCCAAAGAGAAAGGACTGTAACTAAAATGTTGCAATCATAATAAAAATTACACAGGAACTGAACATGTACATCAAACCCCTAAATGTTTGACTAAAGTTATTTGTTGATAGGCATATAACACAAAAGGTGGTTTTATTCGTGGATTAATACTCCTGAAAAAAGGCTTTTTAGTGTCTCTTTCTGAATTTTTAAAGTTGTAACTTTTACACTGAGACAATCAATGAAAACCTAAATGGCAATACCTATGAGTTACTAATAGATAAATCAAGTTTCAAACTGTGAATTACACAAGCATATAACTCCAATTGAAAATACAGTATCTGTAATTTATTCCATTTGCACACAGTTGATTGAGTTATCTTGGAAGACTTCAAATGTGTTTCTAAAGTGTCAAAGGTCGTTTACTTAATTTAACTGGAACTGCTTTAATAACTCATTAGGGTTAATGATTAAATGGATCGCTGTGGATATCACACAGCTAATGCCTTAAACAGTTTACAGTTGTCCATTTAAGATATTCATGTTTTCACTTTTCAGTTAGGTTGTCAGTTTTGTTTCAAGGGATGAAAAGAATTGTTTCTTCTCTGTCAGAAATCCATACTTGAAGGAGACCAGTTCTAACTGTAATGGAGGATGACCCCTGGCCGTAAGCAACTTTGTTTTTTCTGTTCGACAAAAACTTGCATCAGTTTTTCTTGTAAAAGATGGTAAACAGTCTGGAAATACATGAGTCACTTAAGTTGTTACAATTTGAGATGGAAAGTAGAAGAGGGGTGAGAAATGAAAATTGTTCGTGATGCAAGCCGGAGAATCACATGGCTAGGATTTGTTTCTTGAAAGTTTATGTATATAGGGATTTATTTAGTTTTCACTCAATGAAAGCAGTTAACTACCATCAACAGGTAGGGATTGAAACTTGACATAAACATGGTAACAAAAAATTGCATGAACAAAACATACCTTAAAATTACGTTAAAAATTACAAGTACAAAAATCAAATGAAAATATGTACTGAATTTGAAACTTGGTTTCAAAATCAAGGTATTGCTTACCGTACTCAATAATGAGACAATGCCCTTAAAATTGCAGTGAAATAAATAAAAATTTAAGAAATGAAGGGGAGGTGAACAGAATAACATAAAATATCAAAATCATGAGTACGGTGTAACACTTGGACTTCTTCTGGCGTTGCATTATGAGCAATCAATAAAGCTTTCAGATGACAACAAACCCTAATTATCCATGGCCAAGATACATTTGTAGATTTTCCTCTGGACCCATCTTTGGTGGAACCTGCTGTAGGCTGATGCACTGGGTGAAATCATTGAGCTGTTAAACACAAACCCGTAATTTGTAACTTTAACATCGGTCCACTGAACATTTCCAGTTTTCGGTGTG